TGTAGCTAGTATATATATATATATATATATATATATATATATATATATATATGTCGTAGCATAATAGCACGAACATACTATTAGGATTTAGCATGTAACGTATTGTAATGTTTCATTATTGATAAATATTCAACAAGTGGAATGGGAAAAAAATATAAAGATGCAAGTCGTTTGTGTTTTGAACAACAAAATATAATTTCGATACCCACCTGACGTATGGACATGCATTCTGTGCCACAGAAAAATGCCTTCACGGCATAGCAACCGCAGCATCATGCATACTGAACTATTCTTCCATTATTTACACGGTTGTTTTAAAATGAGCTTCCTGCATATTCGAACACAAACAACAACACGACATTTTCGCACGTAAGCGTTAAATATAAAAACGCAGTTTATCCTTGTAAGGTTGTCTATAATTATTCAATCATGATCTATTACATAAGAAAGATGATAGGCAATTAAAATACTGGGAAATATTTTTTTGTATTATATTTACACACGGTAGGAATACGGTGCAGTAGGTGCAGAAATGTAATTTTTTGGTCTATACGTGATTGTTTTGTTCATAACAGGCAGACACCTATCACACATCACGTGCAAATGATTTAATTCTAAAAAAATTCACATGTTACCACGATTTAGTTTCGAAATAAACGACTGCGCATTCTCGGTGCATGATGTAATGTACAGCTAGGCCACGTGCCAAAGAAAGATTTAACCTCGTTTTGCTTCAATTGCTGATGAGGTTTCAACAAAACAGACATCTCAAACTTTGGATACGCTGTTTTATACAGTCAATAGCCACTTTCAACAACTCAATTCAATAAGTTCACTGTTATTTCATTTTCCTCTATTTACAGTGGTGCCTGCTGTTTCCCACCACACTAGCCGCAACACCTCTACACGACGCAAAAACCTGGACTTTTCAAGTACAGGTTTTAAAAACATTGTATTACTTCAGTACCAGTTTTTAGAGGCAGAATCCAACCTGGGTTATTTAAGCTCGGAAATTCTAGGCACCGCGTTGATGCAAAACCTTGAAAAACGTTTTCAATTACGTTGTTTTCAATGTGATTTCATTCAAGCAGTTTTCAACTTTCAAAGCACGTAAGTTAAGCACAGTTATTAAAAACTGTAGTTTGAAAAACCTTGGGTGCTTGAGACCTCGTATAGATTCAGCTACTATGGTGCATACTTCAATCTATTTACATCATGCGTGTCAAATTCATTCAAATTTACAATGTGTACTTTCAATCGCAATTTCTTTGTTGCTTTTTAATTTATACAACTCATAATTATTGTTCATAGAAAACCCACATTATCTAGTCGAGAATTAGGGACTTTTCCCAGCAACATATATGAATTGCATAACAGCGCAGAGAAATGCATATCAAGCTATGTCTGCTACACGTATGGACATACTACACTTTACTTACATGAGCGAACTATGAAATGTGCTCGTGATATTTTACAGTTCAACAACAACAGCAATACAATAAAATGAATCCACATGATCAGCAAGACTGTCTAATCCGTTTCTTTATAAGAAAATACTATTACCACTCTCAGTCTCAAAGAGGTACCCTGGAGTTAATGTGTACGAGTCGGCAATCCATCTGTTACACTGCCAGTCCAATCACAGCAATTAAAAAATTAATACATAAATGTTCCCACAATAGTTTCCCACGTCACTCACAATAGAGTAAAGAAATGACATTGAATAAAGTTGACTGAATAAATCTGGCTTCAACATGAGCACAATATATTAATACTAGTTCTTGAGGCAGTGAAAGATTGACGCCGATGCCCAATTCCAGCGACCGTCACTAGCACCCACCCTCTACATTTCGCAAAAGCAAAAAATAGAAGTCCTGACCTCTATAAAGTAGACGTGTAGCATCTAACCAGGCCGACCGGTCGTTAAGCACTCATAACCCCTCACCCTACAGTGATGAGAGAGAGTTTTGCGTCCACACAACGCAGCAAAAACCTGGGCTCCTACTGCTACGCTGCCGCCTCCTACTCCTACTTCTCCTCCTCCGGCTCGTGCTCCTCCTCCTCGCCCCTCCTCCTCCTCCTTCCTCTCCTCCTCATCCTCCCCTCCCCTCCTCCTCCCCCTCCTCCATCTCCTCCTCCTGCTCGGTTACGGACTCGCTCGCTTTGAGCGGATAAACGCCATGCCGTGCGAGCGGATGTGTGTCTTCAGCGCTCCGACGTTCTCAAACACCCGGTAGCAGACGCTGCACTCGAGAGAAGAACTCCCACCCGGCCCCTCCCCCTCCTCCTCGCGCGCTTCCCGTCTCCCCGCCGCGCCGCGCCTCCCCGCCGCCTCCTCCTCCTCCTGCTCGATGTCGGCGTCGGCGCGCCGCACCTTGTGCACGAAGTATAGATGGCGCCGCAGTGCAGGCGCAACGACGAAGCACTGTCCGCACTCCGCGCACTGGTAGGACGCCGGCTCCCTGTGCTGCGCTATGTGCTCCCGGAACGCCGCCGCGTCGGCCGTCGCAAACTCGCACTTCACGCAGACGTACGCGTCGTCGTCGCCGCCGTTGCCCGTGGCGACGCGCAGCCGCTTTGCCGTCGTGTGCGACACGCCGCGTCCGGCCGTCGCCACGGCGAGCGGCCGCTTCTCGGCGAGCCGCAGCTGCTCCCAGCGGATGTCGGCGGCGACGACGCCGTGCCGCGTGACGATGTGCCGCTGCAGCAGCTTGCGGTTGGGGAAGTTCTTCTCGCGGCAGAGCCAGCAGAGGTAGGGCCGCTGCTTGGCGAGGAGGTGGATCTCCTGCGCGTGCTGCTCGAGCGCACGCACCGACGCGCACCGCAGCCCGCACTCCTCGCACGTGCGCGGCTGCTGCAGCCACGCGCTCTCCGCCTCCTCCCGCCGCCGCTCCTCCTCCTCCCCGTCCTCCTCCTCTTTCTGCTCCTCCCCGTCCTCCTCCTCCTCCTTCTGCTCTTCCCCGCCTCCTCTGCTTCCTTCGTCCCCTCCTCGTCCCTTCGGCGGACGAGTCACCTCCTCCTCCTCCTTCTTGACCTTCACGCGGCGCTCTGGGGTTCCCCCTGCAGCGGCGGAGGAGGAGGCGGCGGCGACGGAGAAGGAAGGCTCGCTGAGTTCGGCAGCCGTAAACTTCTTCATCTTCACGGCGGGCGCGGGCGGAGTCGCCGCCGCCGCTGCCACCGCCCCCTCGCCGCGACCCTTCTGCGGAGGGCCGCCGGCGCACGCACGCGGCTTGAAGTGGGCGGAGCCGGCGTGCAGTGCGAGCGTGTCGGCGTCCGGGAACGGCAGGTTGTTGCACAGCGCGCAGATGTGTCGTCCGTCCTGCCGGTGTCGGCGGCCGTGCAGCTTCATGCCGCTGCGCGACATGAACGTGCCGCCGCACGTCATGCACATGCTGCGCGCGCCGCCGTGCGCCGCCCTGATGTGCGACGCCAGCGACTGGTTGTCGGGCGCGCGCACCCGGCATGCGAGGCACACCGGGTACGGCGTCCCCCGCGCCGCCGCGGCGGCGTTCCCCCGCAACGACGACGCCGTCTTCGGCTGCGGCTTGGGGAGGTTCGCGGCGGCGTTGGAGTCGCGGTGCGCGCGGTAACGGTGCAAGCACAAGTCGGCGAGCGTCTCGAAGACGGCCCCGCAGAGCGTGCACACGTTGTGGACGACGTGCGCGTGGCTCTTGCCGTGCTCCGCCATCAGCTCCACGGTGTCAAACAGCTTGTAGCAGTCGAGGCACTTGTAGATGAAGCGTAGCGTCGCGGCGCTCTGCCGCGCCTCGTGGCTCTGAAGGTGCGCCTGCAGCTGCGCGTTATGGTGGAACACCGTGTCGCACTCGGGACACTTGTAGATCGATCTCGGCATCGCGAGCGTCTCCGACGGGTGCGTGGCGGCGTGGTGCACCTCGAATCCCGCGTGCGTCTTGAACGCCATCGGGCACGTGGGGCACTTCAGGTAGGACTCGCCGTGCACGCTGACGACGTGAGAGCGAAGCAACGCGCTGCTGTTGTAGCTCGCCGCGCACGCCGCGCACTTGTAGCCGACGCAGCGCGAGTAGTGGCAGCACTGGTAGCGCAGGTGATAGAGGAACGCCTCCCACGAGGCGGCGTCGACGGCGACGCCGCACTCGGGGCAGGTGAACGGCGGCTCACGCCGGTGGATGCGCACGTGCGCCGAGAGGCTGCACGCGTTTGGCGGCATCTTGTGCTTGCAGACGGCGCACACCTTCACCTCGCTCGGACGACAGCTAGCCGTCGGGCCCGCAAAGTGTCGGCCGAGGGCGGCCGGCGTCGCGAAACGCTTCAAGCACTCCGTGCACTCGACGCCGCCGACGACGACGACCTCTGAACTCGTGGTCGCCGCGCCGTCTCTCGCCGTCTTCTGCGTGCCGCTTCCTATCGTCACGGCGACGACGGTCCCCGCCGGCGCTCCGGACGATGTTGCCGTGACGACGGTCTGTGCCGGCGTCCCGGACGACGCCGCGACGGCGGAGGTCTTCGCCGGGACGGTCGGAGCGTTCGCGTCGGCGCGAGAGTCGGCCGGCTCCAGACCGCTCAGGCACGAGCGCGCCAGCTTCGCCGACGGAGCGTCGATGCGGACGCGGCCAAAGTCGATCGTGTTGACGGTGAGCGAGTGTTGACGAAGGTGAGCGATGAACGAGCAGCGATTGTAGAACTGGTAGGTGCGCGCGCACTTGACGCATAGGTGAGTGATGCACATGCTCACGCGCCGCGCGTGCTGCTCCAGGCTGCGCTCGTACAGGAACGTGTCTCCGCACTCCATGCACGCAAACAGCCGGCCTGCGGCGTCGCAGGCGTCGGCGGGGGGCTGATACCGCTTCGTGTGCCGGCGGTTTATGACGTCGAAGCAGTACTTGGTCAGGGACGCTCCCAATTCGTCGCCGTCGGCCGCTTTGCCGGACGTCTTCGTCGTCTTTAAGCCATTCGTTTGATTCTTGGGCGCGCTGGTGGACTTCCGTGCCGTCGCCCTCTTCAGTGCAGGCGAGGAGCTTGTCGGGGATTGTCCGAGGTTGCTTGTAGATGGGGACCTGTTTACTACAAGGACGTTCACCCGATCGCCTTTGCTGTTCACATACGTTACGCTCTTCTTCTGTCCGTTTGTCGAGACGTTATCGGTCGGCAGACCGTTTTGTATCTCGCTTAGACTGACGACGTTCGTGATCTTCGGCTGTAGGCTGTCCGAACTGGGTTTAATAGCTTCCAAAACTAATCCAGCCTCGCCTGTAACATTCTGTTTGGCACTGTACAGGCCTCCATATTCATCAGTACCTGAAGAGAATACGTGATTGCGTGACTGTTATAATAATAATGATGATTAAATATTAGGATTTTTCAGAAAGATTAGGAAAGAATAATGTTCACAAGATGCATCTGCTATAACACTGTAAACGTGCTTGTAATCAATGTGTGAATTAATAATAAACTACTGGTTACTAATTAATAATTATGAATTAATAATACCTGGTTCTATCTTTACTATAACGTCCATTTCTTCAGCCATTAGTATAGCTTTGTGCTAATGTTACACTCCTGCTTTCTCTGCGGTCACCTTCTGTAGACTAGCTAGTATCACTATATTCACGGTATCAATACCTAAAACAAGACCGTATGTCGAGCGGTTAAGATTTGTGCCATAACTGCATGTTGACGGACGGACGGCCGTTCATGCGATTCTACACTGCATCCGACTTCGTACGTCAAACGAGCTAAAAACATGATACATATTTATCAGTACATGTACACAAATATAAATAATGATGGGAAATGTTTTGTGCATGCTAGAAGTAAATAAGAAATATAATAATAATGCCTTTCAATTCAATAAGCAAATTTTTTATATAATGAGGTGAGGGTTTGAGAATGACAAATTGCAGACATTTGGTCCTACATTGTCTTACAATTACTACTACCCAAATCTAAATTGCAAAGACCTTTACTTGATCATAGGCAGTTTTAAACATTTTTAATATCTAGAAACATTAAATTAGATTCCATGTACTTGACAATATCGATCATTACTTTCTTGCATGCCTGACATGTGAATTAACTACTTATTGTATACAGACTCTGTGGCTTATCATCTGAACACTTCAACCCGGAGTGTGATATGGCAAAATGTACAATTTAATTAACTGTATTAGCCATGTTATAGTAATAGGAGTGTATACAGTTATGACCAGAATTGTGTAAAATGATCTCCAGTAGGTCAATTCCTTCGACACCACCTAGCTATTTGGCATCCTAAATGAAATCTTTACAGATTGAACTAAATTGTACACGCAATATTATATTACCTTAGATCAGATAACCATGCAATCAAGGTGTACACTGCATTGTTACGCCCATAGGGTCTATGTCCCCCAGGGTACTGCCGGAACGTACCCTGGTAACGCTCCAGTATACCGGAACGTACCCTGGTAACTATTTGATATGGTTAGGGTTAGGGTTAGGGTTAGGGAGTAGGTGTAGGCGACTCCCTAGACTCGTTAATGGAGTAGGCGAGGTACGGTCCGGCATATTAGATAGTACCAGGGTACGTTCCGGCAGTACCCTGGGGGACATAGACCCTCTCAGTGCAAGTATACAACCATGCTCTATCATTTTTTTCATAAAACATTTACTTTAGGGTTATCAATATCACATTTACCCTAGCTATGCTCATAGGGTCTATGTACCCCAGGGTACTGCCGGAACGTACCCTGGGTATGGTCCGGTATACCGGAACGTACCCTGGTAACTATCTGATATGGTTAGGGTTAGGGTTAGGGTTAGGGAGTCGGCGTAGGCGACTCCCTAGACTCGTTAGTGGAGTAGGCAAAGTACGGTCTGGCATATTAGATAGTACCAGAAGAGCATATAAATCACGTTGACAGGGGTCGAAATTAGATTTTTATTATGGTATCCATTCGGGATACCAGGTATTGAAATCTGGTATCCACCCCCCAAAAATCTGGTATCCCATTTTTTGGATAGTAATTTTAACAATTGTTTGTGCCTTCGAAACTCATCGCTGGCATTCATTTTACATATGCCTCCACAGTACACTGCAGACGTATTGTCTAGACACATTGTCTGGTTCACTTGATACAATGTATACACATCACATTTACACTGGCGCTTGCAAATATGCTAAGCCTGCTGTATAACGCTAGAGTGGCCTGCGCCCGCTCAGATCGCGCGCACTCGCTCAGGTGCGCTGCCGTATAAAGTTGATAACTCAATAACCACTATCCCGATTTTAACGATTTTTTTTTTAGTATCCCGGCGGGATACCAAGCATTGAAATCTGGTATCCAACACAAGAATCTACTATCCCGCGGATATCGGGATACCGCTAATTTCGGCCCCTTGTTGATTTATATGCTCTGGTACCAGTGTACGTTCAGGTATACCAGACCGTACCCAGGGTACGTTCCGGCAGTACCCTGGGGGACATAGACCCTCTCAGCCCTAGCTATAGTACATTGCAAATTTAATCCTCCCTCAAACGTTACTCCATGCCTTGTAAATTTTTGATTGTATGCGCACGTAATTAGGTCCATCTATGCTACGCTATTTTTGATTGTATCCAACTAAATTAGCTCACTTTACTCTTTAGATGGGCCAAGACAAGTTTAAAGCATGCTAAAATACCTATCCTGAACTAAATTCCTGTGATAGTCACTAATCCATGCAATGATGCACGCACAGCGCCACATCTCGACCAACGCCTCGAAACGTGGAGTAAATTAGCCTGGTTATGACCCAACTATGCAATGTCTGTCTGTATACACTTAATATTATGCAAGTCTGGCATGGGAAATAATCACAGAAAAACAGTGCATGAACGATTCGCACGACTTGGCTCGGTTTTCGCCCGGTTTATAGTTATTTGTGTCGGTACGCGTCGATTTAGTGTACGCTTGGACCGGTCCTGGCCCAGAGAAGTTTAATGTAGGATAAAATCTTGCAGTCTATGCACGATTATAATCATTTGCATAAATTGCAATGGCCGTCTCTACATTCGCAGCCTACTTGATCGTTGCATTCCAGCCAGTGGCAGTGGCAGAGCCACACAAGTCACAACGAGGGCGTGTGCATTCTGAACGTAATTGGATTTGTAGCATGATGAGTACACGTGTGCAACAATAACTAAAATTTACAGTATATTTCCGCGGTTAATAAAAGTCTCTAATTTACCAACAAGGAACATTTACAAACTTATTACAGCTAAATTATTTTGCTATGTCTACTAGCCTCACCCCAAGTACGGACTAATCACGTGATAGGTCTATATCACCCATAATTCCACGCTCTTGCAATATGGCGACTTCCTTGAACCTCCTGCAGTGTACGTTGCCTTTTTGTACACGTAGAGGTTTTTGTCTCTATAATCTTGTGGTATGGTATCTAGCGTAGGAATTACAAAAAGATTGACTGGAAAAACAAGTACACTGCAATATATACCTACATTCCGAAAGGAAGAAGACGTCACTTTTCCGTGTGTACGTTCATTTTTATCACTCACTCAGTCAGTGTTTACATCGTCATACGACGTCACGACTCACGGTCAGTCGCCATAGTTGTCGGCCTGTACTAGAAGAATGTATACAAGGTTATTAGTTCTAAAGACCAATCTAAAAACGCAACCATTCCTACTTGATACACAAATTGTGTCTGGTTATATTTGGTGTTTATGAGTCATGTATGTATATATAAATATTATACTAAGGCCTGCTTTCTGACTCTGTGATGCAGAGTCCAAATGAAAAAATGGGCCATACACTGTAGATTTCATCGCAAGGCAAGACACTCAGCACACAGCACCAAGTTGCAACATGGCCCATTTAATCTAGACTGTCATTTCAGAATCGGTCGCCTGACTACATAATATATTACAGACATGCGCTCTACCTGGGAGAAAAGATGGAAGGATGCTGCTGGGGCATCTTTGCAGCATAATGGGCTACATTGCAGCCAGAGGTACAAAAATAGACCCTGGCTATCAAAATATAAACATGGGTATACATTTGGCTTTAGTCTGCCACTCTAAACTCGTACTCAGCTTACTGTAGTTTGTCCAAACTGGGCCATTTATCTAAGCAAATGTCAAAGTGAACATGCAAGTAATTAAAGCTCATAGGGTCTATGTCCCCCAGGGTACTGCCAGAACGTACCCTGGGTACGGTCCGGTATACCGGAACGTACCCTGGTAACTATCTGATAGGGTTAGGGAGTAGGCGTAGGCGACTCCCTAGACTCGTTAGTGGAGTAGGCGAGGTACGGTCCGGCATATTAGATATAGTACCAGCAGAGCATATAAATCACGTTGATTTATATGCTCTGGTACCAGGGTACGTTGCGGTATACCGGACCGTACCCAGAGTACGTTCCGGCAGTACCCTGGGGGACATAGACCCTCTCAGCGCGAGTAACATTCAGAGGCATATTTTAATTAAAATAGCAGAAGTGCTATTGTGGGCAGGTACTCTGCATTCCCTACCAGATTCTTTCATGCTTTGCTGTTTAGGTCGATTGCAGAGTGAAGCGCTACATGGATAGTTCTGACAGACATTAGGAGGTAAAGAGACTTTTGTATGTCTCTAGTGCAGAGATCAACTTTCCCTGCTGGCTTAGCTACAGTTTACCCTTATATGAAGGGGGGGAACGGGTATTTTCAGGACGCGGGATTGGCCATTTTAATTAGCTGGGAACTGGGAAATGTCAGATAAATTTTCCGTGATTCGGGAACAGAAGTCCATCGGGACGTGGGAAAGACCCTCTAAAATTGTCTGGGATCTGGGAAAATTGTGTCAAGTCGTCGGGATTTCAATTTCTGCGCTAATATTTTTTTTTTTCTATTTTTTTTTTATTAATTATGCCCAGATACTAGTATGTAAATATTAATGTTTATGTAGTGTTTGAAAACCTAAACTACTGAATTTTCAGAAACATGTCTACATATAATTTCCTGGGAACTGGGACTTGGGATTTTATTTTACTGGGAACTGGGATATTGAGTGTTTTTTGCTAGGAAAGTGGGAATGTACCCCTCTGTTCTCCCCCTCTTATATTAGGCAAGGTGGTATAGGATGTGTTAAGCCTATGCCCGTAGGGTATCAATATTGTCCACAAAATGTGATAACATCAATATGATATGTTGTGTGTACAGATGATAGAAAAATGCTGATTAAATCTTCAATTAATATCATAAGTGCTTAATCACAAATAATGACTTGCATGATTAAAATAACTGATTAAAAATGAAAATAAATCATTCCTGACGAAGGAAAATAAGAAAAGGGATTAGAGAAGAGGGAATAGCAGGAGAAGGAGAAGTAGGGGGAAGAAGAAAAAGAAGACAGAGGAGGCAGAGGAAGAGGGGACATATAAACCCATATAAATAGTGCAACTGCAAATCTGAGTTATGGCAGCTGCTACTATTAGTAGTTGTCAGTACTGGTTATTCACCTACTGTCACGATCGCGAGATCGTTTGCATCTGGCTTTAATGATATATAGTTCATACAGTTTCACACATAATTGATGTCTTTATTAGAGAGTGATTTCAGGTCACAGTCACTGTTCTGTGACACGGGTGTGACCCTGCAGTATGGTGAACGCTCTAGATTTTGTCACATAACAGGCTTTTGTTAGTGTGACTGATTGAATTCATTAAAAGTGTTATGTTATGGCCCATTATATACAGAAATCCTATCAAGACATATTGTAAGGTATAGTGCATGCCTTAATGAATTTATTCTGTCACTAAACAAATGACAGGTGCATAATGAACGACAACAATATAATCACATGCGCGAATTTCAATGTGTTCACATAATACTGCAAGAAGTCAGAGCCTCAAACATGTTCGACTAACAATGAATTATGTCAGTTTCTTATACTACACCCACAGGTAGAAAGTTTCTGATACGAATAACTTGGAACCTGTACAAAAAGATAAATGATACAAAATGACAATTTGTGTGTGTTGTTATTGCTTTACATGTACTACATTATTAACAAATACTAATTTTCTTTCTCTTGTAATATGTCTGCTGTTGAGAAAACATTTCTTATTAATTTTTAGCTCAGCTGACGAAGTCGGATGGCAGCGTAGATCGTGCGATGATTGTCGTCCGTGCGTGTGTCCGTCGTCAACATTGGCCACAAATCTTTACCGCCGACGCGTGTACGGTTGATATTGAGGGGGGATCGCGAAAGGAATTGGGCATGCGAATTGGGGTCAAAGTCAATGATGTGTCATATGGAGGGAATATTTCTCCCTTACTTGAGGTATAGGAGGAAATACGGGGGGAAAATTGCCAGCACAAATTTCAACGGCTCGACCTACTCTGTATTCGTATGTATAGTGTATGGGGGAGAAAACCTATCACCAGTGCGAATTGGAAGGTGCACAGGTCAAAGCGGAATTGGTCAAAAATGCAGTGGGAAAGTTAATAGCCGACATTTTCTGAGGACATGGTCTAACGGACGAGGCAAAACTTTTTTGTCACGCTGGCTACATTTCTATCACTTTATTGAAAGGGACCATAAATGTACTTTCCGCTGACATGCGAAGATAAGGTCTGATAACGTTTTGACTTCAAGGAGGTGTGAAAATGGATTTGTACTTTAACAAAGGACTGAACTGCTTTGCTATTGATGGATGTGAGGCTACTGTGACATTCAGTGCAAAAGGGCAAATGGTTGTGCAAACAAGGTTTACGCTCTTAAATCATTTATTTTCTAAAGCAGTCTGTATTAGCCCTGGAGTATCCAACCGTATTAGCACACTGTAATAGCACCCTGAAGGCTTCGGTGGTAGGCAAACACGGGCGGCAGCCATTAGCATGCATCGGGACACGGTCCCGCCCTGGGTGAATGCCGACTATTCTATATAATTATTGCCTGGCAACTGAATGCAGATGTTTACTACAAGACTGAGCGAAAATTCTCGCCTGCCTGAATTACTAGCGATTGTTAGCGGTAGGATTTCAGCAAACTGAATGGAGTGAGGTTATCACGCACAAAGGGCTATGGCATCTTTGATTATGATGACACTGGCACGCCAACATCTACGGCAATGCTTTTGCTGTTAGACCCCTACACGCCCTCCCCACTTCCCACACCACGACCACTACGCTCTCGCAGTATTTAGCATTTGCATATCCATGAAACATGTTAATATAGCGAAGTATGTAAGTTACACGCTGTATTCTTTATTACGTACTACCGTATACAAGCCTAGCTACATGATTTTATCAGAAGAATACCCGGCTACAGTACACGTCAGTTGAGCGCTGTCACTCTGCGGCACTTGTTCTTGTTCATTACTCGACATGACTCTAGCCATTTCCTACAACTTGAAATGTCAACTTTATACGATTTATGCTACAACTTTGGACCCCCACCACTTGCCCTCAACCGTCTCATATATACCACTTTTGTATATTCCTATTCCCTACATCATCCTTCCCTCTAAGTGTGCTCATGCACTTATCTCACAGTGGTGTAATTTTGCGAGAAGGCATTGATGGCGGGGTTCTATGTTAAAATTGCTTCTCACAGCTATTGTTGTGTGAAGCCATGCTGAGAATTCAATTCAGTTCAATTTAATTTACTTTATTATCACTTATTAATTACATTTTGGAGGTAACATATTAGTAAAGTAAGTTAATGGACAATGCTAATAAAATTAAAACAAATGAAACTAAATTAATAGAAGTGATGAAGGTTAAAATGATGACAAATCAGTCTTTCAGTCAGCCACTCCTGTAGATTGCGAAATAACAACTACGTACGAAATGAGAAGCTACTAGAATATACTTTGTTTCTATATATGTTTCCTCACACTGCTTACAATGCTGTGCCGCTGTAGGTTGCAGTATAAGCTATAACTGCATACATGAGTATAAGTTTGGAGCATGGGCACTTTGGGCAGTAGTTACTGATGTTTAAAAAAATTGCGGTACCTTCTGCTGCCCTGTCATCGGGATTATCGCCCGTAATGTGGATGTGATGAAATGTGATAGTCAGCAATAGAGCCATGAATGGCTCTAATTCCCCATCCTTGGACTAACCTCCCAACTCTCTTCTCCTTCTCCCCTGCCCGCCTCTTTCCTATCGTTCTCGTTCCTACCTGCCCCTCTCACCATTTCTCACTCTCTCTCTTTCCTTCCTCCCTCTTCTTGCCCATCTCTCCCTCCCATATCTCTCTCTCCCTGTCTGCCTCCCATATCTCTCTCTCTCCCTGTCTGCCTCCCATATCTCTCTCTCCCTGTCTCCCTCTTTAATTAAATATACCTCCCCGGGAATAGAGGCTTTTATCTCTACTCCTCATGCTCTAGAGTCCAGTGATCCCAATCGTTATGCGTTCTGTTCATTACGCCTATGCTCATTATGCGTGGCCGATCCGTTTTCCATTACATAACCACATGATAGTCGTTATTTAAAAATAATTTAATCAAATATGATCATTGTATTTTTATGGTCATACTATTAGTATTCACTCCTGATAATAGTAATAAAGACAAAACCCTATATGAGCGCCGATAGGTGGCGGCACTAGGCTGTAAGTAAGTGAGTAACGATAACAGTAGATGGCGCGGTGTTCCAATATGAGTGATTCTGTTTGGGATTTGGAAGAGTTGGAGGAAGTTTTTGACAAAAGTACTAATTATTTACCAAAGATAACTGACCGTCTTGACGCAGCCAACTTGCTGTATTTTTACGCACGATATAAACAGGTATAAACATGTCATAATGATATAATAACAATGTCATTGTGAATGTCAACGACCCAGTTATCCTCACTCTACTCTAGCTCCAAGGAACGGTATTGCCAGGATTAGAATACGTCAATATGTATATTGACGTCAGTCACACACACATCCTGGTCGGGTTACCCTCACTCCTCAGTGCTCTCACCCTTGTTAACCCCGTTACTGAACTTATTCATAAATAAATTAGGTTTGAGCCGGGTTGGAGATATGTTAATGAATTTCTGAATGAATACTGGTGGTGCTATGAATATCTATTTAATGATACTGATAGGACGTGGATATTCGTCCGAGCATCGGACACCTGTTCGTATGCGCTATTCGTCCGAGCAGTTGCTGCGCATGCGCTGTTCATGGGAGTCGCCTACTCTCCAACCTATCTCTAATACTAACATGCACAATCTAAACCTACCACTAATTATTTAACTCTAACCTAACTCTAATACTAACCACAATCTAAACCTACCACTAATTATTAACCGACTCGGTTTGCTTATATAGGCGAATGATAGTACCAAACACTGTCTATGGTGTATAACCACATACGCAACGCATGTATGCAGGGGCGTCACAGCCGTAGGGCTGCGTAGCAAAACGCAAAGCAAAAAGCCTAAAGGGCAAAATATAAGCCTAATATAATATAATATAATAAAATTTAGAGCGTCTAGATTTTAAAATTGGCTGGGGGGAAAAAAACCCCCAGACCCCCCTTCACACTTCCTATCTCCGGCACTACAGTCTACAGGCCGTGCGCCTGCGGCACGCTACATCAACAACTGTTCGGACGAATAGCGCATACGAACAGGTGTCCGATGCTCGGACGAATATCCACGTGGTTAATGATATTGTCATTTGTATGGATACAGTATACGATCATATAACAACCATAAATAAGAAAAACTATGCTGCTGCACTCGCCGCTCGGCCCACTACTCACTAGTCTACATTACACTTACAGTACTCAGTACTGACAGTAGTGTGTAAGCCCTGACTACTGTGTACTGTACAGCACTGACTACTGTGTAGCCCTGCTGCGGTCAGTGTTTTAGAGCGAGGATTGGACTACTTTGAGCTAAATATTTGTGCGTCTCGTGACAGCAAGGTACCTACACAGCGCACTTCAATGGTTTCTATGACAACAACAGCAGCAGTATAGCTAGATACAATAATGTAACCCAACAAGAGTACCCCTAGTGCTACTCTTGTTGGATTACATTATTGTATACCTAAGTATAGTGTTGCCTAGGCTATAGTACTTTATGATACTATCATTGATAGATATATGGCGTACTCGTCACGTTAGAGCTTTAATCATTACTAATTTTCTGCTATAGTAATTAGTATATTTATGATTACACTGATGTCTGGACTGCCTGAACACAAGTAATCAAGTCTCGAAATTGCCTTGAATTATGAAGATTTATTTATTATTTATAGGCAACAGTAGGCCCCTGTGATATCCCAAAACCAGGATTTTTTGACTTTCAAGGAAAACAAAAATGGTATGGATCCTGCAATATATCTTCACAGATTAATATAAACGATACTCTTATAGGCTGATATCAAGATGTGCACAGTAGTTATAAAATTGACATACTAAGTGGCCCCCCAGATTTCAAAATTATACCATTTTCTTAAAATTTCCCCAAGGAAAAGCAGAAATTACTACTGAAAAGTATACCTCTTTTCGCAAGAATTCTCAAGCGCAGTGATACATAATTAATTATAGGGAGAAAACACAGTTTATATCTGAATGATTAGCCAGTATTATATTATCTTCATTTCCATTTTAGATCTTGAAAAATTAAAATGTGAAATTTAATTATTCAGTTCTAATATCAATTCAACATTTTGGATAGTCCAACATAAGACTAATTTGTCTCAATTTTTAGTTGTACTACATGTATTGTTGATCAGAATGAATATGTGATACATTTTTTTTAATCAAAGGGAAGCATGGAATCAACTAGGAAAAATGAAAAAGAATGATGCAATGAAAGAATATATAGATTATATGAGCAAGCTATACCCTGATTGGGTACAGGAGTGTCAGGTGACTATACCAATATGTGTCGATACAACTAACGTTTAAAATTCTGAAGCTGGTCACAATGCTGAGCTGTATACAATGCATATTATGCTTCTCACATCGTAAGAAGCAGGGAAAAAATTATCATTGATTTAGTATAGGTGTGTGTGTGTGTGTGTGTGTGTGTGTGTGTGTGTGTGTTCGTGCATGCGTGCGTCTGGTTGTGTTAGAAAGATGTCGTTGCAGGGGAATCAACGTTCAACGTTTGGCGGGGTTGTCGTTAGCTGCATGAAGGCCCCGGAAGAAGAGCCGATTGCTGATGCAGATAAGTCGCTCATCGACTGGATCGTCGACGGCAACACCGAAAACGTACGCAGAATGCTTGGCAGCAAGAGTTTAGACTGCAACCAGGTTGATGAACAGGTACTGGTTAACAGAGATATTTAATCATCTGATTTCTACTAGTAACGAATGAGCGCTTGCTACTAGGGAGGAGTTCTGTGAACGTGAAGCATTCATATAGATGCTACAGCAACTATAGCAACTACAGCAACTATAGCAACTACAGCAACTACAGCAACTAGTTCGTTTTCGAAATAGTGTCGCCCCTCAAAGAAATTAAATCTATAAAATCAGGGTTCTCTCTACGTTGCGCAAACGGGGCGCGTTCAACACCCCCTGTTTCAATCGTTGCGCCCCGTTTAAATTACCTCCGCCCCTACCTCCGCCCCTACCTCCGCCCCGATTAAATTCCACCACAATAAAAGTTTGACAGCGCGGGAATCGATCGTCAAGAATTCCCATTCGACCAGGACCACCGGCGCGTATATTTTTACCGTACCACGCATGCACTGCAGACCATACACAAGTACAAACAGTTAACCTGTCCTGAACCCAACACTAACTGTACACCGACTCGGCTATCTTATATATACAAGAACCCCAAATACCATCTATGGTGTGGTGGCGATTTTACGCATTAATTAGTGGTACGGTAAAAAAAACGCCCCCGGACCCCCCTAGTTAGTCGGAAAAAGCAGCCAGTTTTTCAGTCTGGGACTGGTGACCTCTGAGCAAGACTGGCCAATTTTTACATAATAAACTGGGTTATATCAGGAGTAGATAATAGGGAAGGAGTGTGACTTCAATAAACTATGGGTTATATCAGGAGTAGATAATAGGGAAGGAGTGTGACTTCAATAAACTATGGGTTATATCAAGAGCTAACAATAGAGGTACTATTAGCTCTTGCTTATATATAGTAGAAATCAAAAATTAGAAATCGGGACTGGCTTGGTTTTTAGACTGATTTCTAAGTCGTGTAGAAATTGACTTTTGAACAAGCGAGTCCAACGGACTCCCTATTCTCAAAAAGAGGGAGTCCGTAACAAAATGAGGGAGTCCGCAGTCTAAAGTTCAAAACTAAAAATATTAACAAAAAGGACATTTGCGGTGCACATCTGCCAAATTTTCTTGGGATGTTTGCTAAAAAAATACGCTAATTCCGTGAGGCCGTGCTCTGGAATGAACTAGTTAGTATAGCAGAATTTTCAGGGAGTCACACGGACTCCTGCATATGTCAAATCAGGGAGTCCGCTCTGGAATGAACTAGTTAGTATAGCAGAATTTTCAGGGAGTCACACGGACTCCTGCATATATAAAATCAGGGAGTATTTGATTCCAAACTCACGTTAATTTCGCACCCTGTAAGACTGATTGATCTTAGCAGTTTTCAATTATCGGTAAACAGGGAATGGCGGCACTGCACTGGGCCTGTGACCGTGGCCACACAGACATAGTTGAACTACTGCTGCGCATGGGTGCAGATCCAGATATTCGGGTACGAAACCTCCTTATTCACATCTCGAAAATTGTCATATTGTTCTGTTTTATTTGCTTAATCTTTATGATTCTGTAAACTGTTGTCTTCGTCTCTAGGATGAGACACAATATGTCCGTATTGCTTGGGCAGGTTATCTGATTTGAATTTTATCTACAAAATGAGCAGCATTGATAGATTTCTATACAAAACTTTATAAACGTAAATTGAGGAGTTCGCGGAAATGCATTTTCCACACACATAGTCTTGCTCTTATAGTAAAATGCTATGAAAGTTACGTTAACACAAATGAAACTGTTTTTCAACCATTTTGCAGGATGCAGAATGCCAAACACCTTTACACTATGGTAAGCAATGATGGAACATTACTAAGATGTAATGCCACTCTTCCATTTGTTTAGTCCCTGTGGCTATAACATTTCATAACAATGCGGTCAGTATCTTGTTATTAGTACTCACACGAGTGTTCACGTATTTGCAGCGTGAAATAATAAACTTATGCGAAGCTATGCCGACTATATTATCAAAATCAATTCAATGTTAACCGATATGATAGTAAACATTATGCAGTGTTGCACTTACTTGTTCCTGATTGGTGAGACTTTAGTTGATTGTAAATTATATGGCAATTCAGCGATCTAGAAGTTTGATTACTATTGCATACTATTTTTGCATTGTGAATTGGCACACACTGTGATATTTGGTCGTCAAGTGACTTGATGAAGCGATTATATGAGAATGTAGAGATAAATAATAACTGACACAGTTAGGGAATGTAGGCTAACAACATACTTGTGTTTCAGCATGCTCCTGTGACCATGTGGAGGTAGTGAAATTGCTGCTGGGCGCCAATGCTGACCGGTCGACGACCGACTGCAATGGTGACACTCCTGTCACGTGTGCAACAAGTCCTGGCATTGTAACGCTCTTGAATAGCAGTGTCAGTGCAAGTAGGACTGAAACAGCGGTCACATCCGCACCGTAGTGTGTCTGGGATTACTAAGGATGTAAAGATATATATCTATATTCTGATGAGCACGTTCAGGGTCCTGAAATTGAAACCATATCAAAACGATGGTATCAGCCGTTACCGTTCATATACTGTTAACGTTGCAAGTTTGCCTTAATGCGCGAGGGTGAAAAGTAAGAGCAAATTCCGCTTCACATGGATGGTTAGTTACAACTTACATTGTTAGCAGGAACGTTCACATGGGCAAAGGAAGTGCACTTTTATACACGATTCAGCAAATATGCTTTGGTTGCATTACTGTTTGGCAAGGCTTTGTTCTGAGCTTCTTGATCATACCAAGTGGTATTTATTCTAATGAGCACCTAGTCATGTTGTAGTGACAGTCTCACTGTAAATATAAAATAATTGTAATGGAATATTAAAATATCGTACTAAACATGAAACGTATGTGAAAATGTTTTCTGTCAGTTGGGTACTGTAATATTTGGTAACTTTCACTTTTTGCATATTGCATTTGTATTGTATAAACAGAAGACCTGGTCATGCAATGTCCTGCCAAGTTATGTAAAACATGCTTGTAACAGGTCGCGTGGAATTTTTTCCCATAAATCTGAAAGATGTCTTAAAGTTTTATATTACAAATTTTCATGTATTAAAAGGCTATATGATATACTTCATATTATTCATACGTTCATTTATTTCACAAATCTGTACTGTATAAGGGATAATTTCACATGGTACTAATATTAATCAATTGTGTCTGTTGGTTTGCTGCACAGAAGATATACAGAAATTATACAAAAGGTAATAATAATGTTGATATGCGACATTTCTTAACTATTAGTTGCCATTTCATTTGGCATAATAATTCTTTGGTCACAATCAATCAATCAATCAATCAGCTATCAATTGGCGCTACAGCGTTGTACTGTAGTAACATTGCTCTCTGCCAGTAATACAGTATTACTGGAAGAGAGCAGTGGGAAAATATAGGAAATGCTGGACCTGGCAGCGGAGGAAAATCCGTGGTTTATTGGCGTGAGCCTAAAAATCGTGGTGCTTTTTTGGCATTGGCATTAGCCTCTCATTGGCATTGCGGTGTTTGTCTGAGAAGCTTGGGGCTCACGCTCAAAGCTGGCTACGGGCCTGTCCTCCTGCTCCCTACTCCTCCATGACCGTCTTCATTCGATCTCCATCACCTTCTCCACTTCTCCTTCTCCTTCTCATCCCCTCCTCCTCCTCCTCCCCCTACTCCATCACCTTCTCCCCTCCTCCTCCTCTTCCTCCCCCTATTCCATCACCTTCTCCCCTCCTCCTCCTCCTTCTCCCCCTACTCCATCACCTTCTCCCCTCCTCC